TGTGCCCCCGGGGATTTATAAGTTGTAGGAATTCTTTATATGCGAAGTGAATGTTACTAAGAAGGATGGAGGTTGCTGAAGAAAAAGAGCTGAGAAAGAAAGAGTGGTGACTGGCAGGCAATCTTGTGGCACCGGACCTCTGGCCGAGGTCTCCTAGGAACCACGAGCGCCTCCCATCGGGACAGCCCTGATGAGCCCATTAGAACGTGGAGGAACTGAAAACCCCAATTTCTGAAGTCAGGTTCAAAGCAGCTTAGGACTTTGCACCTTGGTCCCACCTGCGCCGGGTTAAGCCAGGTGATATTGAGGAAAGCCGAGTATTCTGGGACTGCCATGGCTTGAGGAAGCCCAAGCTCGCCAGGTGGAGAAGCTTCGCTGGGATAGAGAGACGCCCCCTCATCCCAGGTCGCTCCAGCCATCTCAGCCGAGGCGCCGGACAGGTGAGGGAGGAAGCCATCTTCAATGGCCGCCCGATCAAGCCATCAAGCCGCCCGATGACTTCAGCCTCAGCTGCTTTCTGACCACAAGCTGATGAGAGGCTGTAAGGAAGAGCGGCTCAGCTGAGCCCTATCGACCCACGGGACCATGAGAGAGAATCGTAAGTTACTGTCTGAAGTCACCTGAGTTTGGGAAAAGGAATTCTTGTGTAGAGTGGGAGGTATTGGGCTGTGAACCAAAAAGTCAGTGATTCAGACCCACCAGGAGCTCAGTGGGAGAAAGATGGACAATCTCAAAATCTGACAGAGGATCTCCCCGGTCAAGGGTTCTCACAGTGGTGGGTTGAGTCTTTACGTTTTGGAGTGGTTTACTATGCAGCAATAGATGACAAGGAGAGAAGGGAAACTGGCCAGTCCTTTGACCTTACTCAGGGCACAGCCCCTGGAGACAGGCTCTCAGCTCCAGCTGGGCAGCTCTTGGCAATCTGATGGACCCGCCTCTCCCTTCTCAGTGGAGAATAAACTTCTCTTTGTGCCCATAGATGTGGCATCTGCCAAGAGCCTCACAGCCCCCAGGGTCCTTACAAAAGCAGAGCAAGGGAGAATTTCTGGGAATTGGGTCACCAGCTACTTAGATGCTTCCAACCTGGCAGGACAGAGCAAAATCAGTTAAAGGAGGCTGGGACCTTTTCAGAAGTCACTGAGCCTGCCGGGGAGATCGCTCAGGGACACGCAGGGCCACAAACGGCTGTTGCCCCTGCTGGAACCCGATGTCCATAGAGACCTCCTTTCACTCTGTCCCCCTCTATCTGCTTTCTTCTTTCCTCTTTCTTTGTAGTTTAAACATTCGTAAAGCAAGTGATACATAGAAATAAAATTAAAAGGAATCATTCAGCTCAAATTCTCCTACTTTAGTTCTCTCACCTAATTATAATTTTTTTCTCCATTTATTTGAAGGGGAGCTCTGATAGCCTAGTAGTAAGAATCTGTGCTGCAATCCTGAGGGTACATAGTTCAAACCCAGGAGCTGCTTTGTGCGAGAAGGATGGGCAATCTCTTCCCATGTAATTGGCTGCCTCTGAAAACCTGCTGAAGTGTCATCTATAGATCTATTCTAACTCCATGGTACGAAACAACAACATTTGTCATGACAACACCTTCTAGCCTTTATAGCTATTTCTCCTAGTTGTATTTCCACAGCACTAGATAATGCTTTTGGCAATCCATGTGTATTAAATGTTCTTCCCCATCACAATTCTAAAGCATCGATTCTTTGGTCTTGTTTACGTACCGTCTGACTTTCACGTCCATGTGAGTTGAATTGAGAAGACCATGGTTAGGTGCACCTTGTTCTTCTGAGTTGCCAAAAGAACCAAACATTTACCTTGAAAGAACGAGAGCCAGAAAGCTTCTCAGAACCGAGGGTGGGGAGTTACACTTTGTCTCACATACTTTGGGTGTGTGACCAGGTGGGGCTCGTCCCTGGAGAATGACGTCAGGCTTGGTAAAGTAGAGAGTCTGCAAAAAACGTGGAAGATCCTCAGAGAGGTGGATTGACACAGTGACGGCCACAGTGGACTCAAGCACCCCAGGACGTTGCAGTGGGGAAATTGCTGTCAGGAATTTCTCCAAATTTCTTTTTTTTTTAATTATTTTATTATTTTCTGTGTGTGTGTGTGTGTACACCGTCAAATCGGATTTGACTGGTACAGGAGGAGATTGTCCCTCCTTACCCGGCAAAGAGTATCTGGTGGATTCGAACTGTGCACCTCTGGGATTGCAGTGCAGCTTCTTGCCACTAGGCCACCAGAGCTCCCCTTCTAAATTTCTAAAGAGCAATAGCATTAGTAAAAAGGCTAAGGTGTTCCTGATACAAGCCACGACCTTTTCAGCTACTTCCTAAGCATTTGAAAGTTGCACAAAGACTCACGATGACAGAAGAAGAATTGATGCCTTTGAGTTGTGGTGTTGGAGAAGTTGTTATTGTTGTTGTTGAGCATGACTCATAGCGACCCTGTGAACAAAAGGCCTGAAGCCTTTCTATAACTATTGTCATTTATCAAAGTTGGTAGAGTTTCCAGAGGCATGCGGTTTAGGAAGTGAGTGCCCCTCTTGGTGTTGGAGAAGAGTGCTGGATATCTTCTGAACTGACAAGATAGCAGAGAAAAGTCCTGGACAAAGTGCAGGCAGCGTGCTCCTTGGAGGCGAGGGTGGGGAAGCTTTGTCGCATGTATGTTGGGCATGTTGTTAGGAGGGGCTGGTCCTTGGAAAAATATGCACTTCATGGGAATGTGTAGTGTCAGCAAAAGAAAGGAAGACCCTTAACAAGATGGAGTGACACAGTGAATTGTAACATTGGTCTCAAGTGTATCAGCGATGACGAAGATGGCACGGGATTGGGCAGGGCTCAGAACCTTTGTTAATAAGGGTTGCTAAGAGTTGTAGTTAATTAAAAGGCACACAACAACCAGCCATAATGTTGGCAGTTTGAATCCACCCAGAAAGACCCTGGATGAGAGTTTTAGCATCTCCCAGGGAAAGATCACGGACCAATGAAAAATCCTTGGGAACACAGCTCTTGAAACACATGAAGTGGACACAGATTAGACTTGACTGTGTGTCAGAGACTGAGATGGGCCCAGTATTGAACAGGGTTCAGATCTGTTCATAGTGTCACTATGATTCATACTCAACTCACCTAACACCACCACCAAGACGACACCTAAAACAACAACAACAACAAGAAGGCAGAAGAGATTGAGCTAACAGTTAACAGTTTCAGCTTGCTTGGCTCCACAATCAACACTCTTGGCATCAGCAGTCAGGAAATCAAAAGATGAACTGCATGGGGAAAATGTGCTGTCAGGGACCTCTCCAGAGTGCTGAGAGGCAACAATGTCAGTCTAGAGACCAAGATGTATATGATACAGGCCATTGTCTTCACAGTTACTTGCTATGCATCAGAGGGCTGGGCAATAACTAAGGATGATAGAATCACTGATACCTTTGAGTTGTGGTACTGGAGAAGAGTATTGAACATACCATGGACCATCAAGAGAATAAACATGTCTGTCTTAGAGAGGTTGAAACCAAGTTTCTCCCTGGAGGCTAGGAAATTGAAGCTCCATCTCACATACTTTGGGCATGGGGCCAGGAGACACTTGGAGAAGTCCTTGAAGCCTAAGAGTCCTTGGAAAAGGACATCATGTTGGGACAGGTGGAAGGGACAGCACAGGAGAGGAAGACCCCAGATGAGACTGATTAAGACAGTTTCTGGGGTTATGGGGGTAGATGTGACAGCGTCAGTGAGACTGGCTCATTACAGAGCAGGATTCAGAGATGTTGTACACAGGGTTGCTTCCGTTTTGAATTGCAGGTGACTGGATGGGAACTTGAGTTTTAAAAAGAAAAGAAATGTACTCATTAAGGTTAAAAAAACCAAAACTTGTAACATTACATAAGAGAAAGAAATACTTGGAGTTTTTGTTCGTTTGCTTGCTTAATTTTTAGAAATAGAAGGGTAAGAAAAACAGGCAGAAACAAGGGGACACTGATAGGGACACACGATTTGTTGTGAGTGTGTGTTTGAACAAACCCTCCAGCGGGTTTTCAGAGGCAGCAAGTAATATGAGGAGACTGCCCATCCTTCTCTCGCTGGGCAGCACGAGGTTTTGAATCTGGTGCCTTTGGGATTGCAGCGGTTTCTTACCACAAGGCCATCAGAGCTCCCTCTACAGACACCAGACTGCTGAAGCCCATGGTCACGATTAAGATCGCCTCTGTAGTGACCTCGCAGGACATGAAACTGCTCCCAGGCTGTAATCTTTATGCATGAAGACAGCCTCGTTCTTCTTCCACGGAGCAACTGGTGGGTTGGTTTGAACCTGTTAGTGACAGAACGCTTCACCACTGAGCCACCAGGGCTCCCGGTCAAATGCTGTCAGTGACCTCATCTTTATGTTGTTAATAGGTGTCAGCCAGTATGGACTCAGCTAGTCCATGAACAGCAGGTCTGAACCCTGTCCTGTGCCATCTTCACGGCCTCTGACACACTTGAGCCCACTGCTGCAGTCACTGTGTCAATCCACCTCCTTGAAGGTCTCTCTCTCTTCTGCTGACCCTCCACCCTTCCAAGCCCAATGTCCCTCTCCAAGAAACAGCCTCTCCTATCAACATGCCCAAAGCATGTGAGACGAAGCTTTATCATCTTTGCCTCGAAGGAGAACTCTGGCTGCACCTTTTCCAAGACATACTTTTGTTCATTTGTTAGATAATCTTCATAGAGTAAAAACCAAGAGACCACGTGACTCTCCCGGTGTGTCCCTAGCGCTCTAGCGCCTGCGGGCCTCGGACAACTCTGCAAAGTTGTTGTGTTCTCCCCGTTTATCTTGGTATCTCAGCGACACAGAAAGCTGTGCGAAGTTTGGATGGGACACAAGGGGACGTGGTGACAGGTAGGAGGTGGGTCCAGGGAGAGGTCGGACGGAGAGCCCCCGCCCCAGTGCGGGGTGGGCCGGGGGAAATCAGTTCCCCGGGTGTCCCGGTCACCAGCTGATCCCGGCCATGGCCTTGCGCGCCGCGGCGCCCACTCTGCGCCTGGCTCTCGCCCTAACCGCGGTGGCCACGGGGACCTGGGCGCACTCTCCCCTCAGCGCGCTCTCCCCTAGGCAAGGCTGCCTGGCGCTGGGCCGCTGCTGCCCCGGCCGGGACCATACCTGCGCCGCGCTAGGGCCGCCGCGCTGCTTCTGTGACCAGGCGTGCGGTGCGGCGCGGGACTGCTGCGAGGACTACGCGCGGGCCTGCCCAGGTGCGCCCGGGGCGCGCGGTGCGGAGAGCGGTGCGGAGAAGCCGCGCACTGGGGGCTCCGGGCGCAGGCAGTGCACGAGGTGGGGGCGCGTGAAGGGGGAGCGTGGATAGAGCGGGACGCACAGACGCGAGACCCCCGGAGGAGGTGCAAGCGGAGGAAAGGAGGGAGGGCAGAATGGAGAGGGGGCGTGGAGATCCCAAGGGTGCTTGGGAGTAAGGGGCGCAGGGGACCTGGAGAAGTGCGGAAGAGGAGGGGGCAGGCTCTCAGGAGGACTCGAGGGTGTGGAGAAGAGCGCACGCTGTAAATGGGGGGCTGGTGAAGTGTGGAGGGGCTTTTGGACTAGGAGTAGTAGCTTTGCCAACCCCAACTCCAAGCGTCCTGCCCTTAAATCTGTTCTGTCTCATAGCGACCCCTCCGTTGGGTTTCCAGGACGGGAAATCTTTGTTGAGGACTCTCCTGCTTATCTTGGCTGGTGGGTTCGAACACCCCACCTTTTGGCTAGTAGCCCTATAGTAACCACACTAGGCCACCAGAGCGCCTTAGAGTTGCTAAAGTTAGCAAATAAAAATAGATAAAGTAGAATTTCAGCTGACACAATTTTTGTTGTTGTTATATAGCTATTTCCCAAAGTTTGGGAAATGTATTACATTACTGAAAGTTTTTCTGAAAAAAATATTTTCAATATTTTATTTTTTTATATTTTAATTTTATTTTAATGAACGTTCACAGAGACTTTGGATTTCCATTCATTCATTGTTGCACCTTTCTCCCTGCCCACCCCTCCCCGATCAATACTCATTTTAAGAAATTAATTATTGCACATTTCTTCCTCCTCTCCGTTCCCCTCTCAGCCCAGCCGTCAGCGCACTTCTTGTTCCAGGTTGTTCTCATACCGCATATAATCATATATTCCTTTCAGACAGTCCTTACCCTCATTTTTCTGATATTTTTGGCATCCGGTATTTTATTTAATTGAGAGAAGCCAGGGGCAGGGAGCATTACCAAGGAGGAAGGGGTGTAGGACCTAAATTGCAGGTCGGGGGTGTCATCAGGGCTGGGGAAAGCGCTCAGGTCTGGAGAGAAGGAGGTTGGCGTGAAGGGTGTGGAGAGATGCGAGGAGGTGAGGGGTGGAGGGAGTGGAGGAGGTCAGAGAAAGTTGAAGAAAATTTGCTTGAGAGGCTGGTATATATTCTGCTGCGGCTGAGCCTTCCTGGTAAGGATTGGGCCCTGGGGACCTTGGAAATCAGAAGCTTGTAGAGGGACACTTGCTTTTTTAAATTTAATTTTATATTAGTTTATTTACAAAATTCGAATACATTGTTTTCTTTTTTTTATTATTAAATTTTATTAGTTTTAATGAACATTTACAGGGATTTTGGGTTTTCATTCCTTCATTGCTGCACCATTCTCTCTACCCTCCTCCCCAGTTTGTTCTTCTTCCCCGCCATCCGAATGTCTGTTTTAATTGTCCAATTGCCACAGTGCTTGTCAAAGTCAGTTCTGATTAATCTCCTTTGTCGGTGTGTCCTTTGCCATTCCCTATTACTCCTCCCTGAGAGAGACTTCACCCTGATTCATAAGGAAAAGGGGATGGCGTGTTCTCTTAGCTACTTCCTGCTGAAAAGGGATGCTGTGGGTTTCAGGGTGAAGATCTTCTCTCATTACTCTAAAGGGCCCCTTTGGCAGTAAATTTTTCGCACTGAAAGAGTGAAAAAAATGTCTAAATTTTCACCACTGAAAATCTGAATTCTGTGCCCATGTAAAGTAACTGTAGCCCACCTTGTTACTGAGGATGACAGGAGGAGATTGGAGCTCCCCATCCTCAGTTATCAGTGCTTCCTTCTGGAATTTACATTTAAAAGAGGGAAAGAGCAATTAAAAAAAAAAAACAGAATGGAAGGAACTCAAATGTATTGTTCACCCATTTTGTGCCCAGAGCAAGGCTTAGATAGCTTGGCATCTCATTTGATTGCATTCTGGGCGGTCAGGTATTGACCCTGTTAGCACATGAAAGACAAGGAGGCTCAGAGAGGGGAGGTGGTGTCCAGTGAAGGTGGATCTAACTGGGGTCTGATCCCACATCCTCTGGCACCCCTGCCTGCCCTCCGTAAGATTGCGCGACCAGTGGTGGAAATGTTAGTAGCAGTGAGAGGAAAAAGTAATTTTGGGGTGTGGTGGGGCCCCAAATCACAGCAAATGAGATTCTCCCAGAAGAAGCCTGGAGCAGGACTGTGTTTTAGTACGCACCTGTTGGCTTACTTTGCGGGAGAGAGGTTAAGTATGCACAGTTTGTCTGTAGAACTCCACGCCCAGGAGAGGAGGGCTCCCCTGAGGCAGCCCCAGGGCCAGGTCTCCAGGAGCGGGGTTTCTCACTGTTCTCCAGCCTCACAGAGTACAGAGTCGCTGGATGTTATCAGCTCTAACAGCTCCCGAGTGTTTTCCTTCCTATACTTCCAAAGGCGGGTGGGCCCAAGACCTCAAAGCTTTGCTTTTCCCTATGATTTGCAGTTTTTGGACTGGTCAGAGCCTGGTCTGGGAGTGGACCAGAGAACTCTTCTCTTTAAGGGTGGGAGCAGGGGCTGGCGCAGGTGGAAATGGTTAGAAATGGGGGAATGGAGAGCATTTCGTTTCCTGAGGGGTTTAGGCAAGGGAGGGGGACCTTAGCCATTGATGGTTGCAAAGGGAGATGCTGAGGATGGCTTGACATTCACTTAAGGTGCCCTGGCAGCACCAGGACTAAATGCTCGGTTGCTAACTGAAAGTAAGCCTGGCTGTCCCGTGCGAACCCACCAGCCACTCTGGGAGAAAGCCGTGCCCGCTCTGTTCCTTCATAAAGACCACAGCCCCGAAAACCCTGCTGGGCAGCTCTCCTCTGTCCTCCAGGGTCCTGAGAGCCTGCTTAGGCCCCAGAGCACATACATACCAACAGCATGACTGGGGCAGAGAGTCTGGTGGCTTACTTAGTTAATGCTAGCCTCAAGGCCACACACCTCTGGCTGTTTGATTCCTCCAGCAACTCCTGGGAGAAAGGTAGGCAATCTCCTGCCGTTAAGATTTACGGTTTCAGAAACTCAATGGAGGATCAGCGAGTCACAACTGATTTGAGTGTAGTGAGTTTTGAACATGATGGTTGCAGTAGTAAGATTCTCCCCTTCTGTGAAGGGACTGGGGTTCTATTCCCGGGCAGCGTACCTCACACAGACCCACCAGTCATTTGTCAACGGAGATTGTTGTATAGTTATGAAGCTATGTATGGAGAATTTCATATAGCAGGGAGCTCTCCGGGCCTAGTGGCAAGAGGCTGCACTACAGTCCCAAAGTTCAAGGCCACCAGCCACTCTGTGGGAGAAGGATGGGCAATCTCCTCCCCTGCAATTAACTGCCTCTGAAAACCCGCTGGAGGGTCAGCTATTGGTCGGTTCCAATTCTACAGTATAACAACATCAATATGGACCAATAAGCAACATAATGATAGATGGAGAAAAGAGTAAAGTTGTCAATGATTTCAACTTACTTGGCTCCATAATCAATACCCTTGGTACCAGCAGTCAGGAGATCAGGAGAAGTATTGCATAGGGAAAGTCTCATGTCAGACACGTCTCCAAATTACTGAGGAGCAATAATGTCTGTTTGAGGCGAGCTCTGGTGGCCTAGTGGCAGGAAACTGCACTGCAATCCCAGAAGTGCACGGTTCAAATCCACCAGATGCTCTGCTGAAGAAGGAGAATAGTCGCCTCCTGTACCAGTCAGATCCAATTTGACGGTACACGCATAAAAAAAAAATAATGTCTGTTTGAAGATGAAGGTGTACCTGATTAAGACCATGATCTTTCCAGTTACTTGTTACGGATCTGAAATCTGGACAATGAATAAGGATGACAGAAGAATAATTTATGCTTTTAAGCTGTGAAGTTGGAGAAGATTATGGAATAAACCATGGACTGCCAGAAAAACAGATAGGTCTTGGAGAAGGTGCAGCCAGAGTGCTCCTTGGAGGCAAGGACTACAGAGTTCATCTCACATGCTCTGGGCATGTTGCTGGGAGAGGCATTCCTCGGAGAGGAACATCATGCTTGGAAAGACGGAGGGCCAGTGCAGGAGATGAAGTCGCCAATGAGATAAGTTGACACGAAGAGTTCAGCAGTGGGCTCTGGTGTGTCAGAGATTATGAAGGTGGCACAGGACAGGACAGAGCACAAGCTGATTGCTCATAGGATCACTCTGAGTCTCACTGTACTCTTTGGTACCTAATAACACAAAACTATATGGCGCTCTGGTGACCTAGTGGCAAGAAGCTGTGTTGCATGCAATCCCCACGGCGTGTGGTTGTGGTTTGAATTCACCAGCTACTCCTCGGGAGCAGCATGGACAGTCCCCTACCGGGAAATTTACTGTCTCTGAAAACCCACAGGAGGATCAACAATGGGTCAGTTCCGACTCGAAGGCACACAGCAACTTGCTACCAGGAGACTGTTGTTAGGTGTCACCGAGTCGTCTCATAA